ACAACACACAAACACCAGACAATCTGCACACTGACAAGTGTCCTTCAATCCATTAGTGAGCTGAGATGACAGGCAACCAGTTAGCTTAAAATCTAGGGAAGTATTGCGTTCCAAGGAGGAACACAAGCTGACATCAGGAAGAGTAACACAGCTAAAACTCTTAAAAAACTGCTTATAGGCAAGAGAATACAGAACTCGACTATGAGACCGGAAGAACTAGGTGGTGCCCAGCTACCACTGTCAACCACTCAGAAACGGATCAGTGCAGGAGATCCTGGATAGAGTGGGAGAACAACGTGGAACAAAACTCACAATCATAAAAAGGACCAGGTTTACTGGCCTGATAGAGCCTGGTGAGACCCCCAGGCCTATGGCCCCTAGTTACCCCTCAGGTCTGGAATTGAACGCACCCCTGTGGTTTCCAGCCAAACAACAGACAGGCATACAGGGTAAACATTTACATCAAGTAGATATACTCCTTGGAGCAATCAAGAGAATAATCAATCATGAGAGTACAAAAGGGCAGTGTTTGCCCAGGGAGATAGCTCAGGGGGGCAGGAATGCACAAAAAAGAAGGACACAGGGAAGAGGTAACTACAGGGAGGAAGTAGGAAGAGAGCTGTTACACTGTGGGGAATTGCAGTCAATGTCATGAGACAAAGTGTATGTGAACTGCTGTATGGAAAGTGAATTTGCTCTGTAAACTTTTATCCAAATCACACACACACAAATATATTGTCAAGGGAACATGCAACGTAACTAGTGAAGTTGTCAGACCTTGTTTCTTCAGCATCTGATAAGCATCCCGGATCTTGATGTCTTCAGGGAACCAGACTGTCCAACTGAAGAGTATTTCAATGATTCTTCCTTTCACTTTTTCTGTAGTCCAGGATCCTAAGTACTGAAACGAAAAAGGAAAGAGAGCAATAGAGCTGGGAGGGACTTGGGGACGATTTAGGCAGCACTTCCACCAAGAAATGGCTGCTGAGGCCCCGAGTGAGCTGCCGACAGCTGGCTGAAGGCTGAGGCCCAGCCCCGCCCCCGGGCTCTTTCTAGGTTTCCAGGAGTTTAGCCGTTCCACCACTGCTAAAATGAAAGGCCCATCATACAGGCGCCTAGACCTAGACCAGTGCCTTGTCTGTGCCACTGGGGACATTCATTTTCTGACTTCTCAGACAATGTCAGTTACCTCAGAACAGTGAACTCTGTAAGACAAGTGCTAGGAGGGAAGGTCCAGAGAGCGAGGCAAGAAGTGATATGAAGGGCAGTTACACCAAACACCTCTCGGGATCTCCACCGGAAAATCTGGCTCGAAGCTAGACTTCCTCTGGGACACCCATCCACAGGGGAGAATTAGAAAATGCCAGCAGTCAAAGAGCTGCTGACGAGGGTGAGCGTCATCCTAGACCCTGGAGAAGAAAGCTTTTGCACACGGGACCTCCTCAGACCTCTCGCACGGCTGGAAGAAGCTGGCAGGTTCTGCCCCTGTGAAGCCCCGCCTCCGGCCTGAGAAAGGTAACAGGCGTCTGGGCAAGGCTAGGTCTGGGGGATACTCACCTTTGGGGATAGCACTTTGATCAACTCATTCAGGAAGCGGAACTTGGCCACCTCGTTGTGGAACTTCTCTCCACAGTGGTTCACACAGGTCTCCAGCACCTGTGCAGACCCAGGACCCCATGAGAAGGGGGACGCGGTGGCTCCAGGCCCCTAGGATCTGATAAGCACTTTCTGCTGACTTTACTAGAACCATACCTAACGTTTCCTCCAGAATATGTTGACACTGATGCTTTGGGGAAAGGGTGACATTTTTCAGAAGAAAAAAAGCCACCTGCTCGGTCTTGCTCTAACTGAGAGGTACACGATTGGGAGCTGTGTATGCCCTGAGGTGACCCCACCTTTCAGGGAAAGCCCTTGGGGAGGCGACCTGGTCAGAGAATCACGCCCTCTCCAGAGGCAGCTGTCCAACACGTGGTGCCCAAGGATTGCTAGGCCAGAGGTTACCCACTGACCCTCATGGGGCAACCTAGGCCAGCATGCTTCCGTGGGTCCACTCGGTTT